TAAAGGTCTGACAACGCTCAGGGAATTATTTTTATGGTGCCAGCAGTGAGGAATTTTTTGCACTGTCACTGGCAGGGCAACTTCAAACTCTCTCCACTGTCTACGGCACACAGGACCACAGAATATCCTGATCCATAAGGATCATCAAGTACAACTTCTGGCCCTGCACAGGACACCCCAAAAATTCCACCATGCACCCAAGAGTGTTGTCCAAACGCTTCTTGAACTCCGCCAAGCTTGGTGCCATGACCACTGCCCTGGGGAGCTTGTTCAGTGCCCAACCACCCTAAACGAGCCAACATCCAAACATTCCCACACAGCTAACATGGGAATCCCTGAAAACACCTCTGGAGCACCTCACCCTGGAACAGCCAGTGTGCTGAGAGCCCAGCAGTACCTGTGGTTAGTCAGAGCAGGAGTGTTGCACATTCTTTGGAGAGCACACCTCAGCCTTTGAACTCAGGAGGAGTCGCGATACACCCTGGTTTACCCCAAGGGCCTCAGCAGAAGTTGTGGAGTTAGATCCCTGTGATGACAAATGTTGAGGTTTCTCAATAGGTATTTTAATTTGGGATCCTGCACTGAATTACCACATCCCGGTCCTGCAAACATAATCTGAGATATGGCAAATATTTGGAAACATATGGAAATCCAGATGTTCTCTCACATCGTACTGGAAAAGATCACTACAGACTATGCTCAATAGATGCCTGTTATGATCTTACACTTTTATTTTTAGAGAAATGCTATTGAAAAAAAAAGAGAAATTGATCCTAATGGTAAATGACATTTTAGTTCAGTCACAATTACAATCAACCAGACTTACTCTTAGTATTAGTAGCAGGATATGATCCTTAAGTTCATACAGGGTTAAGTTTGTCATCCTTAGAGATTTCTTAATGACCCTTGTTATCTAAACCCCAACTCGAAATGGTGGCTGTGTATTATGTTTTCAATGCACATCCTCAGACATATTAGGACACGAAGTGAACCTGACAGGGAGAAGAATATTTCCTTTCTCCTCTGAAATGCCCCAGGAGGGTTTTCTGCAGGTGACCTCCTCAGACCTTGGCTCTACATTAGAGTTATTGTCCTGAGAGAAGATTCAGTTAAAACACACAATTCATTTCATATAGTGCTCTTGAGTTTATTCTTGATGGCAGCTAACTTGTAAAATTTTATTATGGATTCTTCTTTGGTTTGCTTGATGGAAAACAATTATTCTATCATCAGGTCTAAATGATGCTGGACTATACAATTTTCTTTCCATTACTATTTTCAGATAAAATGTCAGTTTTTGCTTAAAAAGAAGTTCATAACATCTTTCCTAACATATTATCAATATATTAATTTAGATTAAATGTCTGTGTTCAAACAGGTCTGGTATTTTAAAACAAGACATGACTTCTGAATACAACCTGTTGATTACAATAATGATGATGATGTAACAGTGTGCTGGTGTCTCTAATTGTTGCAGGCAATACACAAATGCTTGGTAAAAGTTCCTCTATGCCTGAAACTGCTCATACTCTCACTAGACAGAAAGCCACAGTGCAGCAGAGTCCTACCCTAGGAAGTGAAGCTGCAGCACAGAAAAACATGCAACTCCTGCCCAAATAAACAGGCTATCTCTGAGAAGCAGCTGTGTCTCCACAGCCCTGCAGAGCCAGCAGCTCAGTCCCAGCAGCAGCAGGGACCTGTCAGTGCAGCAGTGCCCTGCTTTTCCAGCTCTGCTTCCAGAGCTGGCCTGTCCACAAGCAGCTCAGATATCTCTGCACTTCATTTCCGAGGGCAGGTGTGCCCCACACGACTCAGAGGGCTTGAGAAGGGCTTTGCTGCCACCTAGAACCAAGACTACTAAATCCCAGCTGAGAAGAGCAGCTGTAAGGCTGCTCAGGTGTGAGCCTTCTTAGTGCAATTCTATCCACAGTAGCCTTGGCATTTACTTAGGGGAAAGTGTCATGACAGCAGAGCTAAGCCCATACAATTTATTTACAAGCATGTTTTGAGATGACTGTGGAGTGAAACACATGACCTTGAAATACATTGCTCTACAAGGACTTTGGCAGGGAGCTATTCTCATACTACAATAAAATGTTCAGTGCTGTGACCCCACCCTGGTTTCATGTCATTGCCCTTACACCTCCTCCAGAGTAACACCAGCCAAGGCAAGAGGCTAAAGGCAACTTCTCTCTCTTGCCTAAGCCTATATGTTCTCTAAGACAAGTAAAAGTGGATAATGAATGTATCTGCAAGCTCTTAAAACTTCACCAGGATTAGAGAAAAGAACCCACCCATCTACAAACTGCAGCAGGTGCAGTGCCTTGTGACCAAAGGTGTTCTCAGAAATGGGTAAGTTTGAGTTGGATGGGCCTATTTCCTGGAAAAATAGAGCATTTCAGGTGCTATGTGCCCTCTCTCCTTTACAAACACATGCATTGGAAGTCTGATTCATATTCAAAAACAATCAAATATTCCCACTGATTTCACCAGGCTTCAGGTAAGATGGTCTGTGCTAACAGGAGGTTAAGCCCAAAATATTTGTATCAATCCTTTTCTTTTAAATCCCCAGGCCACAGACATTTTTGTTCAGAATGAGGTTCACCTCTTATCCCCCGAATTTGCAGTTCCCAAGCTGCTGTTTCTAGTAGAACTTTCTCTTGCAAAACACTACTGAAAAATTCACAGATACTTATTGAGCCATTATCCATATATTTGCTATATATAAAGTGAAAAATCCAAGCCACTAGAAATATTATGCAGCTTCTTCAGTGCACTGTACAGTCAGATTGCTCTGATGAGATGGCAGATGCAACCTAGGAAATTAAAGTAAAGCCAGCACTGTGGATTTGTATTTTGAATCTGGTTGAAAGCACAAGTAACATTTAAAGCAGCTTTATACAAAGCCCATTCCCAGGGATGAATCTTGGTTTTGTAGCAATTATCATGGTGGGGTAAAGCCTGTTGAAAAAGCCCAGGTCTCCTGGAGGAAAATGTTCAGAACGTGATTTTATTTAAGGTTTATTAGAGTGTCCTAGGAAATCATTCAGTGGTTTTTTTCATGCTTGCATATACCCTTGAACATCAATTTGGAGGCATGCAGAATTATATGATTCCATGGAAATTAACATGGTAATGAATATTAACATGACAATTAATAATACACTTAAACGTGTGTCATGCAGTTGAGTGAGCCAAGAATGAACCAAATGTATTGTACCAACTAACCCCCCATGGTTACAAGATAGAAATGAACAGCATTTTGTAATTATACACAGTGACATATTTTCTCATATCTACTGCCAAAAAAAATATCACTTTTTGGAATTAAAAGAGAGAGCAGCAAATAGAAACAGCTATGTCATCAGTAATCGCAAACATGTTTTCAGCTCCAGCTTCTGATAACTATCCAAAGGCGTTCTTTTAATTGGTAAAATTGACAACTATCCAAAAATAAAGGAGTCCTTAAGGGCCATGCTCACTGCTAACAAGTCAGATAAAGAAATCAGAGTACCTAGAAAGTTTTGTGAGGAGATGGGAATTAGCAAATAAGCAGTACAACTGAAAAGTAAACGGTGCTGCTTGTAAAGGGGCTTTTTAGGTATTACAAGACTCTATTAACTTTGTCACATGGGGTCTGATCGAGTTGTCCATGAGAGGTGGACAACAGATTGACTTACAGTATTTAAAATATAACCACCTCTCACAGGAACACTAAGAGGATTGCTTAGGACAAGCCTGCTTAAGACAGGCGCTCTCCAGCATGTGATAAAACAACCTGGCAAAATCCAAAACAACCTTCCAGCTGATACAGAGTCAGAGAACTTGGTCCCAGAGCTTTACAGCTAGAAGATGCTTTGGTAGAGCATTATTCTTAGATGCAGGTGAGACCTCAGTCCAAGATGTAGTGGGAGAAGCTGATGATCCCATGCACCCACCCCACTCACAGGTAAAGTGGCTTGTGTGAACGAGGTCTACAAAATGATCCAAAGGCAGGCAAAGGGAGACTCTGCCAGGTCTCCTCTGCAGCCAAAAAGATGTTTCACCAGCCTGATCATGTTTGAACATTAATCCTTACTTAACAAGGATTATTGTTTGATAACATCACAGGCAAGCAGGAAAGTAAGGTCCCTACTCTGAACTTTCTTATCTAAAGAAATTTTGTCTTTCAAGTATCACACTATACCCCTGTTAAACAACGAAGCCAGAAGCCCACAGACTATGTTCCTCATGAACTGAACAGGAATTAGGATACTGAAAGCATCTAATATTCTGTGTCTGGGGAATCCAGAATACCAAAATATCTGCAGGTCATAGATGGCATATAAGTAATGAAAAACACCTTCAGTGTGAAGAGCCTCAGTGCTGGTCATGTTCAGCTGGACCTGACCAGGAGAGTTCTGAGCAAGTGAAAAGTCTCTTTATTCACCTGGTTGAACAAACAGGTACTAAAATGTACCTATATAAACTACAAATCTCTGTTTCCTCCCCACACAGTGTATTCCATACGTCCCATATCAATATTTTGCCATTTTCTACTGATGGTTCTGGGAGAAGCAAGTTTTAAGTTCCCTTGAAATCAGCATGTTTCCCCATGATTAGCTGTCTCCTGTCCATTTGTAGTGTTTAAGTGACTGAAAACACTGTATTCAAAGAATAATTAATAAAGCTTCCTGGGGCCCAAGAGTTTCCACGGTCATAGCTTTGTGTACACCATAAACTATGTGTAAATATGTACTTGGACAGTTGTTGAAAACATGTCTAATTTTTCCCAAACACCACAGCTCTTTCCAAACAGCATAGTTTGATGGCATAATGCACATTTAAAGATTTTTTAAGTCTGTTTTATTTATAGTTATTTACTTAATAGAGTACATCAAGACTTCAAAATCTTTGTGGGCCATGTGTGAACTAAGTAGGCATTCAACCACTGTTCTAAAAACGTGTCATCTACTACAATCAGAACCTGCACTCAGAAAAAAATAAGGCTTGAATATTACCTGGGCAGTGTTACCATGATATTTCTACATCCACAGGGACAATTCTGTTCCTAGGATGCCAGTTGTAAATCCAAAGCATGTCCATTAAACCAATGATCTTTTGCTCTTCTTTTCTTCTTGATAAGTAGCAGGATAATTCAACTCCTTCTGAAACACATGGAAAGTTACAGAGGAGGCAGAGCCCACTGTTAGTAAGATTTCCACTAATTCATGTTAAAATACAGTAGGAACCAACATTTAGTAATGTTCCTCTCTACTTCAGCTGGCCTCTTTCATGTAGAACTTAAACTGAAATCTCTTTTCTCAAGTATTGTAACATGCTCAATTCAAACATGGTAACACAGGGTGGGAAAGAAAGAATCCAACGAGTAACACACCACAAGCCTGAATTATTTTAAGACATAGTTCCCATTGAGTAGGTCAGTCACAAAAACCTGGTTTCCATTTCAGTGCTGTCACTACTCTGTTCACGGTATCCTGTTCATCTCTGAACAACACACCTCAGTTTTCTCCCTCTGCAAAGCCCTTTGCAATTTGTTTTGAGACATATGGGTGCAAAGAGTTCTCTAATGCCTAAAAATGGTTACAACTGGTTTTGGTGTTGTCACTGTTGTTAAGCAAAGTTTCTTTAAATGCTCGAGCTACTCTTCTGTCTTGTGCAGAAACTACTACAGTAGTATCCCAGATACTATTGCATCACCAACAAAACTGGAAGATATTCAGAGCACTTAAGAGATTTGCAGAGACTCAGACCTATCAGTGTAAAGTGCATCAAACGATTCATCACAGGCCTATCTATATATCACAGATATCAAATTCAATTTTAAATCCAAGAAGGGGGAAAAAAATGAGAGATATGAAATTCATATACTGTAATTAAATGGAAAACACATGCAAACCGTAGCAGAAAAATAATAGAAACATGAATCGTGTATGTTGCATCTGTCTGTTATTATGGTAGGAGTGGCAATGATTAGTAGAAATAGGGTTGCAAAATTATTTCTTATATAATATCACTTCCTGTGCCTACAGGGTAAGCGTGATGAAGACAACTCACCCTTAGGCAAGAGCAAAGGCAGAAAGCAGAGTCCCTTCTGCTGGGAAAGAGGAGCACTCGGTTGCACGGAAGCCTTGGCAGCCAAAGGAGGTGCCGACTTCTCACCCTTTGAAGGTACCAGCAACCAGTCTTGGAGCTGGCACACCTATTTGAGAGAAAGACAGCACTGCCAGGGACCTACTGCCTAGATATCCTGGTCAACAAGAATCTGCTCCAGAATCATTCTGCACAAGGGAAGGATTGTAACAACGCTCTGAAAGCTCTAAAACGTTGATTTTGTGGACAGTGTTATGCAAATCCAATGGTGTATAAACGTGAACTTTTACATATGCACTTAGACTGGGAACTTGTAATTACGCACACACACGGATGGCCCCGCTCCCAGGGAGGATATTCCCATACTCAGCACTGTTCAAGAGTGTTGTGCCATGTCTTTTTGTGTATCAAATGTAAAACAGCTCAGCTAACATGCAGGCACGGGTGTCTCTGGGGTCCTAGTACGTACATGGCTGAAGAGGCAGCAGTCAGCCACTGCACATAATGGTGATGGGCTGTGCTTTCACTCTGAGAGTTTAACCCTGAGGTCTTCCAGAAGCAAAACTCAACACATTGCCTAAGACCACACGATAAAGCAGTGGCAAGCTTGAGCTGGCAATCTGGGTGGAGGATCTCCCCCCTCCACCCAAGCCTGACTCACTGCAGCTCCCTGCAGCTGAAATATGAAGGGGCAAGATCTTTGATGGTGGTTGATACAAGCAATCAGTTTGGCTGCCTTTAGGAAGCGCTGAAACAGGTGACCTTACTGGGGACATCTGAGGTTAAGTTCCACTTCGGGTCTTCTGTCCACCAGAAACCAGGGTGGGCTGCAGCAGATTTCACTGATGCTCTCTGTGCAGCTTCATTGACTCCCAAACATGCAAGGGAGAGGAAGTTAAACTGGCTTTAAGCATCTCTGCTTCCTCCTGATTCCGTGAGCTGCATCACTCAGGTACATCACCACAATGCCCAGCTATGGCACACATGTCCAGTCCTTACATATATGCTGCTTTGAGCTCTGCTGCATTAACATAACCAACATAAACACCCCTGGATTCTTTATGCACCATGCTGGGTTTGGAAAAGGTGGGGGGAAGAAGGTATTTTCTGCAAACAGAATTTTTCATAAGAGGCACAGTCACCTTTTGCTATTACAAATACAAGAGCAATAACAATATATACAGGCCCGAGCAATAATGGAGATTCTGGCAGATATTTTTTCCCTGTCATAAGCACACTGGGCCTAAGGCAAGGTTTTCCTCTACTTAATACAGAAAATGGAAAGGTAGGGAGAAAACTAAAATTAAAAAAAAAAAAAAACTGCATTGCCTCTCAAATTACAAAACCTGCTAAATATTTAGGGCATTCTTTCCCACAAACATTTCAAATAGATGAGAAAGAGGTTTGTCTTCTTGACAGTTCACATCCTCCTGTGGGCCAGACTCATTCCTCTGGAAGCTCACTGAAGTCAATGGTACAGCAGCAGGGATGACAGATGAAGCTCACAATCCCCATTTTAGTGGTACCTATCCACCATTCACACAAATCAGCTCAGGATTAAGATGCAAGTGAAGACACTAAATGTGCAGGTTGAGGAGACGACTAAAATAGCATAAATAGCCTAAAATCTGTGGCAAATGTGTGTGTAAAATTCCACTCTCAGTCTCTTGGCTAGAAAGGAAGGGCTTGAATGATGCAACAGTAACTGCTTTATAGTTATGGTATCTGCTTAGAGTGACAAGTATTCTTGCTGTTTGGGGGGGGGGTTCCCCTTAGTTGTAGTGAATTGCCATCCCATGCTCTCATTGCATGCCAGGTTATCTTCATGGTAGAGAACAAATTGACAAGCCCTTACAGTTGACTAGCGAAGGGTCACTCTGCAAAGAGCTCCTTCGTTTGCAAATCATCAGTCCAAAACACTCTAAACTTCTTTCAAAACACCAACAAAACTTCCCTGGCCTTTTAAACTGGAAATAGAAAACCTGATTTCAATAACAGGTTTATTAGCAACTTAATTAGAAGATGACCTCAAGTCCAAATGAAAATCAGTGAACAGTCATTAGATCAAGTAAAAATGAGAGTGAAGAAGACAAAAAGCCATACCTGTAATCATCCCTCCAAAATTAAGTTATCAGCTATCAAGCAAATAACTGCTATGTTAAAAGCTTTTTCACGTTAGGCCACTTGTTCTTCACAATAATTAAAATACAATGTTTTAATAAAAGAGTTTCATTTATATTCTGATAGTCAGGCTGGCACTTAACTTGATTTGCGGCTGTTCTCAATTAGAACTATTTATGGTCTCCAAAATCCCTTCTTGGATGCTTCTGAGGTTCTGCACCAGAAAGAGGAGGGGAAAACTGGCAAATCACAACAGAGATGTGAGAACTGTATTGGGGAAAAAAAAGCAACATCCCCCCCCTCCCCAGAATCTGGATTCTGAACTAAACCAAAGCCAAGCTGCAATGAAATGTAAAACTTTGGCCAAATTCCTAAATTCTAGTATCATGATTTTCATTTACAGTACTTATTTTGCAGCCCATATTGATTTCACATTGGGCAAGCCACTATTTTTAAGACAAATTTTCCATTTGCAAGGTTTTCATCTGCCATTTCCCAGCCCTACGTCCCGCAGCGAACTTCCCCCACCCGAGCCAGTTTGAGCTGGATCCCCGAGTCACACAGTTGCCCTTTGACAATCCCATCCCCACTGACAGGGAGGGTGAGCACGTCCCATGCCACCCTGGACTCCCATCACCCAATTTGTGTCTGAAGGCCACCTCACTGCCTACCAGGGTGCTGAAGCACAGCACTGTGCAGCACACGCCCTCTGATATCACCCTCCTGACTGCTTTGCAACAGGGAAAAGATGAGGACATGACAGAGAAGCAGCCACTGGTCTTCCTCACTTCAAAAGACAATACCACGGCATTAATAATCCCTCACACTTACTAACAGCCAGCTTTATAAACAGTAATTAAAGATGCCTTCTGGTGTACCTGCATAGGAAACATGGTTTTTGTTCTCCACAAGGACCACACTTTCTTTAGTGACTTCTGATTAAAGGATCCGACATTGAGCACTAAAGGCTTAATTTCCAGGGGCACAAGCAACTACAGGTCATATTGTACAACCTTCTAACAGTGCCTAATAGCAGCTAAAAGTTAAAATCTGGTATTTCCAGCAGAAAGCCTCATAGTTCTTCATTTCAGATACTTTCTGTAAACTGCTAATCAGTAATTTTGAAAGAGGGGTAGGATTCATACATCAAAGATTGTGAAATCTGTTTAATCATTTTTACAAATACATATTAAAAAAAAAAAAAATCCCTTGCTTATTGCCCTGACATTGCCAGGGATGAATTAAAGTAGCATTCTGAGATTCACTACGCTGACTGTTCATTGGCTCATGCTTCTCCTTTTACTTTTAATCTTCGAACTGGCCAAAGCTTTTACCACTCACCATTTCTCCAAAAATTAAGCCTTCTCCAAGCACTAGCTGGAAGTGAAAACTGGTGATAGTTAAAGCCCTGCCCACTCAGAAAACCCAGTGCAACCTGGGTGAGCCCAGAGACGCCAAGTCACTGCTCTGTCTAATTACAAACCCGAGGCAGATTAACCTTTGATGACTAAATTAATCTTCTAAATAAAATGAATATGCATCAGCCTGCAAATTAGGATTAAATGCTTAGCAGAATCTTTATGTGATCAAGCAGGTTTTGTGGTGCAGATGTTAACCATTAACATGAAGCAATAAAATCATTCTTTTTTCTTATAATAACACCTAACAATTCCAAAGCCACCTTTCATCTGAGAATCTCAAAGGGTTTCATAAACATAATTAATTAACTCTCTCAGCATCTGAGACAAGAGCATAATATCCCCATCCAACAGCTGAAGAAACAGAGGCACAGCCACGTCCTGGATCGCGGGCCTCGGACTGTGTGTAAGGTGGGTGTTAAAAATGCTTTGAAGAAAAAGAAAAGAGCAGGTTTATGCTGCCTTCAGCCCTTCTGTCATGCACACTGGCGGGGTGGTTTCTCCACGAGGCTGAACTATCAGCACACATGCATGTCCCTCTCCCAGAAATGCTCACAGAGGTTCTGTAGACACTGAAACACGGGAGAGGAGGCACCGCTGGAGCAGCACATCCCTCTGTACCAGCACAGAATTCACTGTTAAAAGCAAAGGGACTTGTCTCACTACAAACCAAATGAAAACAAACATCACACTCTCCTAAGGTACTACATAATTCTGAAATAAGCCATTCCAGCAATTTGGGGTGAATCTTGAAGAGAAAAAAATTGTTTCTTGATTTTTTGGGCACTGGGAACTATCAGTCCCTTAAAGAATCTGTTCCTTGCACATACACTTGCAACAATTTAGTCACAAGCAGACTCTGATGGTGGGACTCCCACTTTTTTTGGTGGAACAGCTGTCCTTGCAATGTGATTCCTATGTCTACATGGAATAAAATGATTGCATGGAATGCTACCACTTCCATCTGCATCCTGACACCAACATGGGAAGAGATGTGGCCATAGTTCTTCCAGGCTCTCCCAGAAGACCAAATGGTGTAAGGGAATCAAGGAAACCTTCTGCTGAGGCCCACTTTCTGTGTTCCCTCTTCCAATGGGATATTCATTTCCAAGTGGTTTACAATAGGGAATTTGGACAAATGTACACATCGTGACTTTTCAGCCTTACTACCCCGATTTGAATTTCACTAGTTTCAAACATTATGCATTTCATTATTATCAAACTGTAAAAATTAAGTTTTAATTTGATCTAGTTGAATCAAAAATAATGTAACAGTATCGCTGAGCTATGGACAGGCATTTGAGAATTCACATTCTTGGTAGTCCAATTTGTTGGCACGTTTTGTTGTCCAATCATAGCAGCTTCTCCTGGTGTGTAAGTTTTCCTTTTATGTAAACTAATCTGTTGGTGTAAAATGTCTGTTGCTGCAAACGTAATTTTATTTGTTCAAAAGGGTAACTGGATAAGTTCTTAAGGTCAGTTTAAATTTCTTGGCTATGAACAGGAATCTTAAACTATAAATTAACCAATATTTTAGACAATTGACATCACATATATGATTTTTGGCATGTAAGTGACTTCCACAGTACTGGGGGTTAGACATTTAAAAGCATTTCTTGTTTTCATACAATGGCTTCTAAAATCCGTGGAAAAATTCCAAGGCCTTTAATAAGCTTTGGATTGGGCACATTATTACTGTGAATGTAATTCTTGATACCTCTCCTAACATCTAGGCCATGTGAGAAACTTAGGAAAAGCAATTAACATTCCTCCATCGACTTTCTTATTTACATTTGAAATTTACCATTTAAGACTTTAATTCTCCATAAAACTTCTTAAATATACATAACTTCAGTGTTATTTAAATGTTTTATGATCTTCCTGAAACGATCCGCTAATTAAAATCACTTACTTAATTTAGTACCTTAAATTTACCTTCTTTTATTTGGATGGAATTGGATTTAACGTGCAGGTTTTGTCCATTTTTTTTCTGAGAAAATCTTAATTTGGAAGGAAAATTACGGTTATATGGAAGGGAGGAGGATGTCTTGAAGGTTGCAAACTCTAACTAGTGGTAAACATTAGCTACCATGTATGACATGATGTATTCAATTAAGAAATAAATTTATTGCAGAATCTTGGAATTATCAATTAAAAAGTAGTCAGTGCAGTCCCACAAGGTCTGATATGATTACCTGTGTTATCTGGGCTGTCACTTCCAGTGCTGGTTTGGGTCTCAAAGACCTCGGAGGGGTGCTCTGTATGTCGAGTTAAATAAGTGAGACAACCTTAGTGGAAAAATGCAACAGTACAAGGGGGTGCAAACACAACTATTCTAGAGGGGAATGAAGATATCAGCTTCAAGCTGAATATTATGGGCAAGCTGTTCTTCCTTCCTGCTGTGCTTCCAAATGGACCAACAGGGCCACTCCATTTGTGGCTGTCCCCCAGTGCACCTGGTGGGTTAGGGAATGCTGAACCTCAGGGGCATTAAAGGACACTCCAGCCTGTTACATTTTTTTTTTCTTACTTATTACGTCTGCAGACTTTGATTTTTCCGTCTTCAGTTTCCTCAAGTTTAAGGCCAGAAGTGACAGTTAAATTATCTAGTCTGACCTTGTATATATGCCAGGCCACTAAGCTAAACTCACTGACCTCCTTTTCTCTAAGCTCCCTGTCATAACACTGATCCACAAATGGGGCTCAATTATGAGGTAGTAAATCAGTGTAAAAAAAAATAAACAGCTCCTCCCACCCGCCTTTCTCTCCAAAATCCCAACTCCAGCAAAATTCTGTTGCTCACTCTGAAACAGAATGAAAAATTTGGCATCCTCTGATGAATTAGATTTTGTTTCTTGTGCAGAGTGTCTCACATCTCTATTGCTCTGGGCTCTAGTTTGGACTAAAAATAAAATTAATAGAAACTGTCACCTCATCATATTTTTTACCTGATTGGTGTAGATGGATCTTAAATACTTTATATTCAGCTATATAGAGGCTGAGTACACCTATTTATGAATTCACATCCAAACTGAATGAAGTTAAAACACAAGTTGTTCATCCGCAGACTCAGTATAAAAACCTAATTTTTTCTAGCACTGTATAACTTCTTCAAACCAATATACATCAAGAAGCCTAACACACTGTTCACAACTCCAGTACCTGCCTACACAGTAAAACTTTTGACATTTACCAGAAACAGAGAAAAAGAAAATAACAGTCCAAAACTCACGATAACGTTTTTCATGATATGATTTGAAGACTGTCTCTTGGCTCCACAATAAAGACTGCTGGAGACACAAGAAGCCTGACAGACAGTGATTGTCTCCTCTTTCAAAACTCTGCTGACAGCATCAACTGTTGTTCACTTTGGTATCAGGGGGTGTCAGGAAGAGTGAAACACTGCTTACCTTACGCGTCATGCAAAATTTAGCACCCCTGTCTTTCCCTGGATTCACCCCAGGAGCGTTCCAAAACATGCACAACAAAACCACATGAAACTCAGATGATTTCAGATCACGTTACAAAGTCAAAACACAGAACAGATTCACAGAAACATTTGCTAAGGTTCACCAACCTGTTGAGTGAACCTGGGCCCGGTTCCAAGCAAATCTGGATTGATTAATGTTTTCTTTAAATCAACATCACCTGATGTTCTTTGCTACTGATGTGAATCTCAGCTTTTCCTTTTCTCCTTGGGATTTTGGAGTGGTGTAAGTACACAGCTGAAAACAGCACATGGAATGCACATCCATCTGTGTATAACTGAGGAACATTCTATCACCATTTCTGCAACACAATAAAATATTGCAAAACCTGCATCCCACCAGCCTTGTCAGTATTTTGCACTATTACGAGTTTTTTGGGGAGAGCTCAGGGTAGAGCTTTTTTCAAACTGTTCATGCACTTAAGAACATGGCAGGAAATGAGCTCTTTCTACATTTCAAACATGGGACCAAATCGAGATATACTCAGCTGTACAAGGAATGGACCCCCCGAAATCAATGGAACTACTTATGGATTAATACACCATCACTCACTGTGATTGAAAGCTACTGTAAATAAGCTTTGGAAACTATATTCCAACTGTAGTTGTGCTCGGTGGTTTGTAATATTCCAGCACGTGCTAAATATAAACAAATGAAATAAAGTGGGAGATAGTGATACTCTGATTTCTGTTTGCACTGACTGTACATTTGTTGGAGGTGTCTGAGCAATCAGAACACTACATAAATACCTTGCCATGCCTGTGGGATCTCATGCTAACTTATAATCCATCACTGAAGACAGCAGCAGCTCTTGAAGACATGCTAAAGCACTTCTGAGGTTGAATGTAATTCATTGTTACACTCTCCAGTTGCATATTTATTTCCTCTCACAGGAAGAAGTGGCTACACGTGGAGCAGTTGTATGCTGGAAATTTCACTTAAAATTTGCATCATATTAAACAATTACTGACCAAAGGCTCCGTAATTTATCAGTTGGTTTATCTTCTTCTTTCCAAACGAATTCTTTGTCAACAACCTTTATATTCAGGAGCTCTGCCTTGACATACAGCTTGTCTGTACCTATATCTTTATTTGGATACTGCACAACTTTTCAGGATTGAGACACCATCCAGATAAAAGAAGAACCTGTCCCACCATGTCCTCGCTACACACAGGTAAGTCTGTATTTTGTGTGCATTAAAAAAACCCTGTTTATCACATAGTTGTGTTATTCATTTTCTTAATTTCTGACTCCCAGTTTCAGAAAAACAAAAAGCTGAGGAAAATGTTAAAGAACTGCCAAAGTTTCTGTTGGAATAGAAAAGGAACGGGAATATTGTAAGACAGACTGTTCCCTCAATTTCTTCTGGCCAATTTGTAGCCCCAGGAGATCTGCACAAACTTTGAACAAGCACAGAGGCCTGGCAGCGCTGACACGAGCTGAACTCCTCTTGCCTTGTGAAATTCAACCACTGCAACTTCATAGGCAGCATTGGTCAAATAAAGAGAAGATCAACCCAAAAGAAAAAGAGATTTAAAACTGACTGGATTCTTAAGGAGAATTTTTGTCATCAACTGAAAAAGCCCCCGGTGTTTCGTCAGGGAACTTTCTAGCAGCCTAATCTTTCACTTACATATTTGCATTGCTGGAGTCCTTCCCCACTGTCCTGGGTTCCTGCTTTTCTTTTTACTACTGATTTAGATGTCGGTGTCCACTAATCATCTGAAAAAAAGAAATCTTTAATGCCCAGGCTGTAAATATGCCACTGAGTCCCAAGAGCCTAACATATGTCAAAGGCATGAAATGATGGCCATGAAAAAGGGAACTCTACATCTGTGTTTGCTTAGCAGAAGAACTGCAGGGCTGCCCTGTGGACTGATGTGGCTGTTTAATATGGTCTCTGCAAACCGTTCAATAACATCAGAACTGCTGGTTAATCCTCTTACCAGTACCATTGACATTATTTCATGTTCTACTAATTCCAAGCCATCTGCAGAAATACTTGCCTCTCTTGGCAAGTCAATACAGAGTGGCCGAATTTTTTAAAAGGCTGCAGCTCTTCCAGGTATAATTTCAGAACAAGGTTATTATTTTTTTTATAGGAACATTTTTGCATAATCTTCTAGTCTGAGTCTCACCTCATTTTACTTGTGCAAGTCAGGAGTAAAGGTAATGCAAATGCAAGGGAAGGACTGAATTTTGAAATTGAATATTCTGAAACAAATACCCAAGTATATTTTGAGACTATATCGCCAAAAGTATTCAGATGCAAAACCCTCACTTATTCGGCATTTGGAAGAATAAAAAATACATTTAAAATTAAAAAAAAAGTGGGATTTGAAAAACTTCAGAGGTGTCCATATTTTCACTTTGTAATTTCTTGACCAGTTTTTGCAATGTTTTCCCTTTTATCTGGATTTCCTATGGAGAGTTTGTGGCAACCATAAAAATGGACACAAACACGTTTTTCACATGGTGATTCCCAATTCAGCATTCAACATTACAAAACCCACTTAAAATTACTGGGATAAGAAAGAAGAAAATGATTGGTTGATAAAAACAATCTCTCCTAATGATTTTCCCGTGTATTTCCAAAGAGTCACAAAGAGTGCTGGACTGTGAAGGGGAAGGATTCAAGGGAGTGAAAACTTCCTGACTTTGGAAGGAACCAATGTTTTTGAAGCTGTCCAATCATTCTTACCTCTCTTTGCAACCTTTAGGGAGTCACAATCCATCCAGAAGAATCAATTATTGAATGTAACAGTAAGAGCCTTGTGTCACCATTCCTGTCATGTCACTGTCTTCTGTCAGAGAGCACCGTGGGTCTGAAACCAAAGCAGACACATGGTGTGAACAAACTGCTAAAAAAGCAAAGTATTTCCAAATCTGGGAGACTGGTTAACACCAATGTCCTGCTCAGAGTATTACACACCACAGAAACTGGTCGAGGAAAGAATGTTTCTATATACAACACACTCAGGCTCCCACTATCACTTAATCCCTCTTCCATCTGTGCCAAATTCCAGCTGCAGTCCGTACTCGCCTCCAAAGAACCAGAGCTAACAGCAAAGTAACAGTCACATCTATTGGCTACTTCGCCAGCATTTCACAACAGATATCACATGATTAGGTGTTAAGTGGGACTATTTGCACTTTTGCTTATGGCACATATAATTATGTAATTCTGTATAATGCCAAAATGACGGTTTAAGCAGCAGCTGCACAAAACAGAGATACTGGCTGGACAGCACAGAAAATGCAAACTTAAACCAGCACAGTAAAAAAAGCACAGATACATATACATCTATATGTATTTATATACCTTTGGGACTGTTGAACGTGGAACAAAAAGATCATGTCACTGGAACCATGGACAAGCAGGACTCTGCCTCTCCTCGTGCCTGTGGAAGTTTTGCCAGTGAGAGGCTGAGTCCTACAACACAAACTGTGGCTGGACAGAACCATAAAACATAATGGATGAAACCCTTGGAGCTCCTGTTTTCACCCATCAGCTGGTGCTGGTGTCTGTCACAGAACAGGCTGGCACTAGATGGCTCTGTCAATGTTTTAGGGGAGGTGGCCCCACACATATTTGTGCACTGAGTTTGTCAGTGCTTTAAAGTCTGTCTGCAAAGAACCCTGAGGGAGAGGTGGGTGTAGACAAACCACACACAGCCACCCTTTGTACAGTTTCACCTGGGAAATTCAATTAATAATCATCTCTGCCATCAAAAATATGGAGGAAAGTACATTTAAGTTACTTTTCTTATTTTTCAGACGACACACATCCTAATTCCATTGCACGGAAGCAGAGCTTCCATGAGTTTTGATTAAAGGCATCACAAAGTATCAAGGTTAGTTTCAAGTGCTGCTATATTTTAAAATACATCCTTCTAAGCATATGGGTAAGGTGGTAGCAGTGGTAGGAGTTTGCCACAGAAGTGCTCCACAGAGGTCAAAAGGAGATCACCATTTGTTTAATTTAAATAAATCAATTTGTTAAACAAGGAGCTGCTGAGATTATACAGTCAGAGGGTGGAGAGCAAAGAAAGATAATTATTTTTGTTTGCATAAATCATTTTCTTATTACTTGGGGATCAGGGTGGTATTGTTTGGGTTTGAGAAAGGAGGGCAAAAGAAGATAACTATCAATTTGCTGATCAGGGTTACATGGGATTTTGCTGCTAGGGCTGGAGAAAGCAAAGAAGATCATTATTTTTATTTAAATAAATCAATTTGTTGTGATCAGGGATCACATGAGGTTGTGCCATTTGCAAGGCAGGCATAGGAAATCCTCCTTTATGGACAGCTGGTTGCAGAACAAATGTTCAGGCACTTCTCTATCAAATGGAATAACGGACACAAAAAAACCCTTCAACACCACAAAGCTGGATTTCTATTCCTTTCTTTTGAAAGACCCTGAGTTTGGCATCTTGTCTCAAGTCTCCAACTTGAGTTAAAACAATCACTGTTACACTTTTAACACAATGAATCAGGATTATATATATGCATGTGTGTGGATGCGTATATAAACCACATATGCAGATAAATTAGATAAATAGATAGATAGGTAGATAGATAGCAGATAGCAGCTACTAGGGCCTGATCCTCCAAAGCCCTTGTACTTTGGGGCAGTGACTGATGCAACCACTGTAAAAACTGTGATTGCCTTCCCAGGACGTAGGACCAGTTCTCCAGTGGGGAATATTCATTGCAATCAATGGCCATTCTGTGCACACGCACTTTAAGGGCCTGATATTTGTTGCTTCTTTTCTGAGGCAATTAATGAAGCTCTGTGTGTAATTTTAAAGGCCCTTCATGAACTAACTGGAAATCTACAGCACTGAACATCAGTGAACTCATATCCAAAACTAATAGCTTCAGTATCACTGCCAAAACTTGACTAAGCGCTCTTTGTGCCTGCAAATGGGGTTCTGTAGGCAGTATCCTCCTATCTGCCTTCAAGGGATAATCTCCTCTTACAAATAAAACAATTGTTTCATTTGCTCATTGCAAGGGTTGAATGAGGCTGCAGAAATGAATCTCGCTGGGTTTGAATGTTCTCAAGTCAATCAAGAGCGGATTGGGGGAGTGGGGTTGCTTTCAATTAACATGTTGCTATTTGTAAAACTAGTTTAAAAAAAATGCCTTTTCACAGGTTTGGATGTGACTCGTGGAAACTAATAAGCAAGCCATCCCTCTCACCATACCCAATTAAAAGATGGCTTAAATATGGTATAAAAGTCAAAAATCTGTATCTGTGTGATCAAGGTGCCCCATATTTATTACCTCAGAGTAAAAAGGAATAATCTAGTTGTCTCTTTAACAAATGAGACAATGTTTAAGTAATTACAGAAAAGAGTGGGTCGCAACCATCCCTTGGATACTTTCAGAGTCAGTGGTGTAGTCCAGGGGATCAATTTGTGCTTATAACATGAATGATAAATCTAACTAAACATCTTTATTTTTACAGTACGTTAAAGAAGCATTTTTATTTAGTGCAGTCATATATCTCCACATTATTCTGAAGTATGCTTCTTTATTGCTCTTATGTCTCCAGAATTGCCTGAGGAAAGCATCCTTTTCTCCTTGTGTTTCATTGTTGTTACCCTTGTAGAGTATAACATGCACAAACTTGATTATGATTAATTGAGGGCTTTGGCAAATTATGTTTTTATTCCTTTCCATCTAAGTCTTCCATCTGCTCAAGAATAGAAAAAAAAAAAAGAAATTTTACATTCATAAAGACAGTTAGGGCTTTCTGGGTAAATCATCAGAACAACTGGTTCAGCAGTAATGGCTACAAGGAAAGAAAGTCTTCCTTCAGTCTTACATCATCAACACTAATGCATTAATGCAATAATCACAACATTAATGCATCTCCATCCTACGAGTGAGGCCGAGAGAGGATGATAACTGGTCAAACCACATTTGATCCAAAATCTTGCTGCAGAGCTGGAATTTCAAACTGAATCAAACCCAGTTTAGAATATTGCTCAATTAGATCCTACCACCAGAGAACCACTTAAAGCACTCAAGTACAAAGTCTGTAAATATAAACACCTGTATCCTTGGGCACAATGCATGTAACATCAAGCAGGCTATTTTTAAGAGGCTCTGTTGAAGTTCTTACCCAAGGTGATGCAGCTGCATGGACCAGTCCATTAAGCCTGGTGAACCACATCAGATAAGGCCCTTCCTTCAGGGTTTATGATTCAGGCATAAATGCTTGCCATCCCCTGGAAACTGGCAAATGAGGTTACACTTGGCAGTCTGGGGTTTTCTTAATAGGATGAATGACAGAAGTAAGAAGTCATGTTTAACTTGTACAAATGCAAGGAGGAAAAGGCAAGGCTTTTTCATTTAAAGACAGCCTTGTTCTCCAGCCTTGCTGGCACATTGCACAGAGTGGCGCCTTTGGCTGATGAGAAAGCAAAATTATTGAGGAATTTGCTCCTCTGAGACCACAGAGTTGAAATAACAAAAATCCCAAACAATTTTGGCAACCAGAACGCAGATACAATCAGTCTTTAAAAGGTTGGTCTGGAGAGCTGGTGGCATGGGGACAGGGGCTGGGGATTTATGACAAGGTCAGCACCAGTGGCATTTTTCTTGCTCAGCCAATAACGTGAATTGAGTTGTTGGCCTTGGCCCAGCTCCCTGTGCATAACACTCCAAGTGACTAACACCACACCACTCCTGAACCATCACTGAAGAAGGCAGGTTAAATCTGCACACTGATGGTTCACTGATGTGAACCACAGAGCAGTGGTGTGATCTGTTACTGTAAATTGTCTGTAAAGGTGGTGATCCAGAGGGAGGGATAATAATCATCACCAAAGGTGGGTCTGATTGCCTGCAAAGATGGCATCTGACAACTAGCAGGGAAGTCACTGCAGTGTTCCTGCACACAGGTGGTCGGAGTGGAGGCTGACTAAGCATCAAAAGACAAGGAGTCTGTGGTTCAGCTGAACCCAACTAGATTTGGAGGTAGATACAGAAGCTAAACTTCCTCTGCCAAAGTTTGCAAAAGATTCTTGTCAAAGATGTACTGACAGTGATGCTGTAAAACCTCTCAGCACCTCGCTGAAGATTAAACTCTACGGTAGCTTCACAGTAGACAAGGAAACTGTTATAGACATGGCTCGTGTAGAAAAAAAAAAAAAAGAAGAAAAACTAATTTTGTGGAAACAGCAATGCAACAGATGAACACCACATAGCTGGTAATACAGAGGCACTGCCCATACTGTAGGAAAAAGCAGTCACTTCTTAACAAGGAAGGGTGCTTTAATAATCAAATCCAAAAGGGTTTTATTCCCAGTTGAGCCTCCCCACATGTCGGTCAAGTCACTTTCCGAGGCTCACAGAAAAGAGTCACTGCATTTACTCAGCACTGCACAGGGATCTTAGTAAGAATGATTCACTAGAGTAACTTTTCCAGTGATATATATTGCCCTTTCCTGCTGCAATGACATGGTCTGGATAGAAGGTGGGGGGGGTCTGATGACTTCACCCCTCCAAGAAGCAATCCATACATCCCCAGGCCCAAACAGATCACCACACAGAATATCTGGTGAGATAAGTAACCTGGTGAAAAAGCTACAGGAATCTGTGGTCAGAACCCCCCGGAACTGTTGTCCCAGCTTGCTCTGGGGACTACTACAACATCAGTGTCCTGCTGCAGTCCTCCTCCCCTCCCTCTGCTCACACATCTTGTGTGTACAAGAGGGCACAGGAGTCAATTCATTCTGCTGTGGAAAGCTCTGCATGAAGCCACTTTAATTTGGCTTTGTGGGTGTGTGTGAATCTCATCCTGATACTTTCCGGGTTCTCAGGGAAACATTAGAATGGCAGCACAGCAGAAATGGAAAATGCATTCTCATTCTTTGGCAGCGAATAATTTACTTCATATCCACCATCCTTTTTTTTTTCTTCCCTTCCCCTGCTGCCTGTGTTTGTGATTGTAAGGGAAATTAATTTCTGAAGAGTTTAGCTAATATTTATTGGTGAGAAGATTCTGTCAGCCTCTCAAGGTAAATAAGAACTGGTTCTGGCTGACACAGATTGAGTGTCACATGACTATCCTATTTTTCTGATTTAATAAATATTAACCTTTCTGCCTTTTAGTAGCATTGTGCAAGACTTTTTTTATCTTCTGATGTGAAAAGGCAAATAGCCAGTACATGCCAAAACTACTCCTATTACACAAAAAGGCAAATTTTCGTTATTTCATTTCAAGACAAGACATTGTTCAAATTAAAATTAAAATGCACACAGATTATATCTCCTTTTACACAAATCTATGCAAGATGCCATTCAGGGTGTGCCTCTTCTCCTAACCGCAAATTCTTCTAACATCAGATAAAAGAGATTTATTGTCATATTCCCATTTTATCTTCTAACTTTTGCCTAGTGGGAAAGCATAAAGGAGACAGGAAAGCATAAAGGAGACAGGTGACCCCCCAAAAAGACTGTAGGAAAGGATCTTACATCAAGAGAGTTGGCAGAAACTCAGATGATCTTTTGGAAGTTGTAAACCTTGCCAAAGATTTTCCTCACTGCCTTGAGCAGATTCCTTTCCTTCTTTGTGCCTCAGTTTCCCAACTGCAAAGAAAAAGGTATAGAAAGATATAATAGTTCTTTCCCCTTTTTTTTCTATCTTATTCCTATTGCAAACTCTTCCAGGCAAGCCTGATTATGCACTTAGCAGATGGGGGCTCCAAACTCAGCTGGAGCCTTTAGGCATTCCTATAGTATAAATAACAATAATAATGATGGAGTGTTAAAATAGGCAGAACTCTTTCTTTGTTCTCTGCAATGTGAATCAAACTGTGGCTGGACTTTTATTTAACACCACCAGCCAGTTTATTTATGAGAGGATTTATCAGAAGTGGTTGGGTTTAATTTCCTCTAATTCACGCTGTATGAAAAATGGCAACTGTCTGATTTTAATCTAAAACCTGATGAGAGGGCTTCCCAGAAATAACAAAAATACCACAATGGAGGTATCCAAACAGTTACTGTAGGAGTGCAGCACAGGCTGAACATGCCTGTTGCCTCACACCTTCACTCTATCTCCCTCCCTGCTCTCTCTCTTCCAATGGTACCTGCAAAGCCTGGATCACTGAAGCAGTACATCAATTATTAATGGTAAGGAAAAGAATTTTGTGAGTTCAAGTGCCTTCGCTGGCACCTTAGTTCACAGAAAGAGTTAATCTTTTGTTCTTCAACTGACTTTTATTTTTAATCAAGTGGATATGTTTGTTAAGCCTTCTTTTCTAAGGAGGAGGGAGAGGTTGTAAAAAAACCAGTCATTTTCAAGTGGAACAAATGTATGAAGTTAAATATGAGTGTGCATCAACAAGCTCACAGATTACTGTGGCGTGAAAAATAATAACACAAAAAAAGATGGAATTCCTTTTCAAACAAATCAGAGAAAGATTCAAAAGCAGGGGCAATCAATACCACCCTGTGATCAACAGGAAATGCTAAGAATAACTGTATATCATGTGTGGCTTCGAATTTACAACCAGGACATATAATCTCATTGTAAGAAGAGAGTCAAGTTCAAGAACTTAGTCTCTACAGTAAAGCTCTCATTTTAACTAAAGAAGCTGAGGTCGACGGCCTCTCAAATGAAACAGATAAGGCGACATAGGGTTCTTGTCAGAAACAAATGTTATGTCTCTCCCTACTGAAAAGCTTAAAGATATTATCAGCAAAAGCCTAGTTGGGCCTGAAATGGGTCCCAGAGAAGTAATATTAACCAGGCTCCTGGCAGATCATTTATTTATCTCAAGCTAAATTCAATAAAGAGAGCCATATATAAGTGAGGGAAAATAATGCAGCTGCTAGTAATTTATCATTGGATGGAAAGTCATTGTTATCCTTATCTCTCCAATGATGTTCTATTTCCAACTGGTAATGAATTATGGGGCTTGCCACATCTTTACTATGTGACAGGTCAACACTACCTCATGGGTACTGTACTGTATTTATGCAATCAATAGAGGGTCTGCTGAGGAAATATTGGCAACCATTTTGTGAGAGTGACCTAGAGCTGCATGGCCTTATAGTCCATGGTGGTGGTCAGTGGACAGAGCAGCATTTCCTTACTCCTTTAAAACAAAGATGTCTTTGAACGCTTTTAAAGTATTTTTCACTTTGCTCTTTATAAAGCCGAGCATGCGAAGTGAACCACTGGATTGTTAATTAGGAAGCATTCTGCTCATTTAAGCTGGCTCAGCCACCAAAGGGATCTTTTCTGTTCCTTTGTTGCACTTATTAGAGGGATTTATTAAATCAAACTTCAGTGCAGTCTTATCCAAAATTATTTGTGCCTGCGGTGCCGGGGCACAGCAGAGGCACGAAGAGCAGAGGTTTGCCCAGGCTGCTGCTGAGATGTGAGGACGGGCTAACGAGCAGCACTGGGGGCCCCACAGAGCTCCCAGATCCCACACTGAGTTCTAAGGTGGAAGCCAAGCAACTCAACACCGCGTTTACTTTGCTCAAGTCAGCTGTGAGGGACCCTCCCAGCACGACCCCTGCAAGAGAAGCAGTGCAAAAACAGTGTTCTGTGATGGATGGCTGCGGGAGGAAGAGCCCTGCTACAGGGGCACGTGGCAAGGGGAAGGTTTCTGGAGTAAGTCCCTTCTCTGGCACTGCTCTCCCAGCCCTGAACCAATTATGCCCAGGTATTCTCTCTTTTCTACTTCTTCCCATTGGGTTTGGTTTTCATGATTCACAAGGAAAGTTTATGCGGCCTGAAAAGTTTGTATTTATACTAAAAAAACCCAGAAATGCACTTTTAATGTTTTATATGGATTGAGAGGTGGATATATATCAGAAATTACTCAAGATTTTGAATTTTCAAAAACACCCCCTGAAGAAAAACAAAGAAAACGTTCAAACACATTAAAATTATTCAGAAAAATAAAGAAGCATTTTAGAATAAAAGAAAATGTTCAAACACATTAAAATTATTCAGAAAAATAAGGAAATATTTTAGAATAAGCAGTCTTTTGTCATTAAAAATTACCAAATATATTAAAAGAAGACACAATCACAATTTGGCCCAGACCCCAGGACCTTCAATGCCATTTAGTTCACTATCTCCTCTTTAGCCTTCTGCTTTCTTCTCACTGAGACTACTCATTTGTGGCCATGGATTGTTTCAAGAACTGAGAAATCCAGAAAATCCCATATTACTTTTTTTTTGGTTGGTTAGGTAGAAAGGTAGAAAAATACACATCCTTCAAGGCAGAGTAGGGACATATTTGGAAAAAGAAAAGGAAATTACACTTTCAATGAAGTGAAGCAGCAGCCATGCCAACAGTAAAGCTGCTGATTGTAGTAACACACTGATTTTTAGCCATGCAAAGCGATGTCCAGATGAGTTGCACCACCAATGCTGAACCCACAGACCTTCCTAGAAGAGCACAATAGGACAGGATCGTACCCAAGTGACATCCAGCTGAGGCAACGAGAGGAAAAGTAAAGCTGTCTATTCCAATTATTGTGGGAAAAGGAAATTTAGACACGCTGGCCGGCCACAGTTCACTTATATAACCCATTAGGTGACCTAAATGATGTTACCCGAGGCGGTTAAGATGAACTCAGGTGAAAAACAAACGCGGGTAACTCCGTCCATTGTTAAACCACGAGCGCGTTTCCTGGTCCCAGAGACACGCTGTGCCTTCTGGCGTGCAGGCCCGTGTTAATGTGTCTCTTTGGCTCCCTACGTCCAGGAAAGTCTTAGTAATGGAAAAACAAGGATGTTGTAGGTGAAGGCTGAAGTCCTTTGGCAGAGCGGCGTGTGCAAGAGCCTGAGCAGAGCCTGCTGCGCTGTAGCGCAGCCCAGCCTGTGATAGCAGCCTGTCAGCTCCCCCAGCACTAACACTCATTCACAAAGATTCAGAGAGTCAAGGAGCAAGTCACCATGTCCTGCAGTAAATAACTCTGGATTCGTTTCCCCACGTACAGACTGAGATATAAACTCCATATGGTTTGGCCGCTCCGGAAGGGCTCTCGCCCGGATCACATTAACACATGAAAGCTCTGATATTTTCATAATCAGCTAACTCAAGGGGTCACCCAGCTGATGCCAAGAAGGTCTTGCCTTTCTTTTGATAGCTGAGAAAGTATAATGGATTTTTGCAATTCAAACAAGTTATGTAAATAGCATAAAATAAAAAAATCTAGGTGTCATAACTCATTTAAACCAAGACAATTGAGAGAAATATACTCCTTGAAATCAACTATTGACTTCTGAGTCTATCATAACCAGCGAGGAGTCTGCTACTTGTCAGATACTCTTTCTCATGGAGTTTCAAACACACTGTCAAAATTGTGTATAGCTTCTGGCTCCCAGGCTTTCTACTTACATACCACTCACTCAATTCACTTTTTAATTTCAATTGCTTGGAGACCTATCCCAAAAATTTTAAAAGAGAAAAAAAAAAGCAAACAATAAAAAACCACCAAAAAACCCTAAAACATGGTCCTGAAACTACTTAGGTTTACAGAGGTAAAGTCTGGTAAGAATGATGTATGTGTTTAATAATATGTTCCCTGGTTAATAAAATACTAGATTATTTTTGGACTACAGAATTTAAATGGAAGGAAGTTTAACCATTAGGAACCTGTTTACAATTACCAAGAGAATAGCCAGTTGGCAGGTCAATAGCTATCAGCAGAAATAAAGAACCACAGCAGCCACCTGTGCTTAAGGCTTGTCCCTGTTAGGAAAAAAATAAATGAAAAGGCAAAACCCGAGAAGCAAAGCTAAAGCATGCTGGGGTCTTTTCAGTTTAAAATTAAAAAACAGAGGGCATTGCTCTGGGACTACTGATTTCAGAGTCTAGAGCACACGACAAACAGCTCTTCCAGGCTGTATGAGGAAAAAATGGGCAGCAAATATCTGCATCAAACTTTTTCTCTAGATAAATAATTCAATCCAAAGCATGTTGAAATACCTCGAACAGGTTCTTCATGGTCTGAAGATTTGCTTTGAAAGGAAGTGTGCACACAGGGATGTTTCCCCTTCCTCTGTGAACTGTCCCACCATTGAGCCAGCTGGAGATTGGCCATTTAGAGTTGAAAAGGCCAGCAGACACCTGTGTCAAGTGCATCCTTCCTTTACCAGATGGAAATAATTGGAGCCTTGAGAAAGATCTCACTCATTGTCCTCTGAATGGGTCAGAGAGAATCACACCTGCAGAAGGGCTCAGTGTGTATCTCACACTGGGAAGAACCACATTCCCAGTAATATCAATGGGACTTCTGTTGTGGAACCTGAGGATATCTGTTGCCAGCAGAGAACATTTCCAGAGGCAATGAACTCTCTGATCCACAAGAACAAGCCAGAATGGATAGTAAACTATCCAGGGCAAAGTCCCTGTCATTTGAGTTTTTAAATCAGGATTGAATGCCTTTCTAAACTATGTGCTCAAGCTCTACCACAAGCTCCATGCAAGAATCACCAGGCAAAATCCTCTGGCTTATGGGATTCAGCCAAGATGATTATAATGGTTCCTGCTGGCCTTAAAAGTCAGTAACACAGGTGAAGTAGAAACTGTGGTTGAAATTCATCCACATGC